CTCGAGTTGCAACCAGAGTCATGGAACGGATTAAGTTCGTAACTAGAGGTACCACTGTACTCAATGAATCACTGCTTAAAAATAAATTCATAAATTAATTATGTATTATAATGAACATCCACAAGCATCACTAAGTAGCTGCTTCTTCCCACAAATCTCTCAGAACATGCTAATGACATGGAGAGAACAGAGAGATAGACAACAGATATATATGAAAAATATATATCCTGAAAAATCTGTCAAATGTAATGTATCTGAACTTCGTCTAGCGCTCAGTTCAATATGATTTTTAATTACCATATGCTCCACCTGCAGAGCAGTACAAATAGATTATCAATATATCTGATAATCAGTGTTACTCCAACAGAAATGTTCGGTCCTTTCTTTTCTATCAAATAATGCTGAGAGATAACTTGAATTTGAAGATAAAGGCATATATCGAAAAGTAAAATTGATGCAAAAAATTCATAGATTCTCTAACAGATAAGGTGAAAACTTCATTGAATTACAGTTGATTCCTGGTGTCCTCACAAAATATGTCCTCACAAAATAAGCATATGCTGTTTCAATCATAGATACTAATGCTACTTTTTGTGCTTACTAATGCTACTATTTAATGTTTGCTTTTGTCATTTTTAGTTGCTTTTTTTAGCTTCCCAATGTAATTTACAGCTCCTGGATTTCCTGATAGTTTCCTATTCAGTTACTAACCACATATATTGAAAATAATTTAATGTATAAATTAAATATGTAATTAATAAATTAATTTATTTTTATTCATATATTTAATAAATGCATATATTTAATTAATAAATTAATTTCATACAGTTTTTAAAATGACAATGGGTGATGATATAAAGTAGGGCAACCCTTTATAGGCCAGGCTATTAATTGATAATTTATTTCTAGTTTATAGTATGGCAAAACAAGTTTATATGGCCCAAAGAGGCAATATTTCTTCTATTTTACTTTAAAATCTTACTGCCATGACACTGAAATGATCATCTTAGAATTTCTATACTGAGCTTTTGTTCTTTCCTATTGGTTCTTTTATTTGCAGCATAGTATTCTAGGCATGAATACTAGGGTGGTGGTATTATATTCTGTTTCTCACTTATTCAGAGGACCAGTTATTATGAAAAATCAACATTTTATTTCACAATAACATTCTATTGTTAATGTCAAGTAAAGTTGTTTCTGTTTAGAGAGTAGAACTACATCAATACAACTCCTCTTGACTGCATAATTAAAGGATGACTGCCCCAAGGGCTACCAGAGTTTCCTTTCTGACGGACGGACAGATGGACAGACAGACAGACAGATAGATAGATAGATTCTCCCTTTTTTTCCTTTCTTTTCCCTTTTTTGACCCTGTCCAACTCTCAACTACCTCTCTCCCCTCTACATGGAGTAACATCACTAGAATTACAGAGATTAGTTTCAGTAGGGGTAAGAAATCATATTCCATTTAAATTCTTCCATTCCCGCCTTCAGATTTCCTATGCTGACCACATATTAGCTTCACCCCTAATGTCTCAGGTTATTTCAAAATATGATCCAGTGTGAGAACCAGTTTGATCTAGTAGTTAAAGTGCTGAAGTGGGAGTGGGGAAACCTGAATTCTAGACCTGCCTTAGCCATGGAAGCCAACTGGGTGACTTTGGGCTAGTTGTTCTCTTTCAACCCTGGGAGAAGGCAATGGTAAACCACCTCCAAACAAGAAGCCAAGAAAAATGTATGAAGTCTATGTAGTCACCAGCAATCAAGTCTGACTTGAAAACAAAAATTTTAAAAATTGTCCCAACTGTAAATTTTTGCAAAGGATTGTTCTTTCTTAAACATTTGTTTACATTACTTTACACTACTTTAAAAAAGAAGTCTGTCTGACTAGAAGCTTATATATTTAAATAGTAGGGCCTTAAACATGTCATCTAAGCCTCAAATCAAGGACAATAAACTAAAAATTACTCCACTGACATCCACATTTTTAAAAGTAAACTTTAAAGGATTCACTCAAAAGCAGATAACCTACCTTTAATTCCTCATCAAAGTCTTCCATGGATTCAATCAGTTTTCCAGGCTCATGTTCCCCAAGTGGAAATGGATAATCTGTTCCCAACATCACTTTCTCCTACAAATAGAAGCAAGTAGGTGGATTACCCTGCTGGCATTTAATGGAAGTTCCTTTTTCATCTTAATCATTATGATGATTGGATGGATGGATGGATGGATGGAAAGACAGACAGACGTATTAGTTTTTAAATTGCATGCAAGTCTGGAGAT